TCTCAAATCTTTAGGACAGTTATGCATGCAGAGAGTATACTTGTTTCAGAAAGACTCTAGGAAGGTAAACTTTTGCATGATGCATATGTGTGAGTGTGTGTTTGATGATTATTAATTTTCCATCTAAACACCAATGACCCATTCTTTATTCCTACCTGCCTCTGATCTGGGAGTTATTTCAGAGCTTTATTAAAAGAGAGGTTTTCTGTTAAGTGTTTGTATTGCCTGCTTAGTATTTATACATTCCATATGAATGTATTCTGGGATAAGGCTGTGTACATTTTTCTGCTCCTTCTTTTTCTTTCTTTTATTTTAACTTAGCAGTATATAAAATGTCACAAATTCTATGGGTCTGCCACATTTCTCATGATTTCTAGATTTAGCAGTCATCGATCCTATCTGTTCTATAAATTAAAAATTTTTCCACTTTTCTGATCTAGTAGTAGCACCATTTCTAGTGGTTCCATATTGCTTTCAATTTTATTTCAGTTTTACATTTTTTCTGTTATTCAGGTAGATATGGCAATTTCAGATTGCTTCCAATTTTCTGCAGAAGGAATTCAGGGCAGGGGTTGGATAGGATAAAGAATATGAAGTTTTTTCCTTTTTGCAGCAGAATTAAATCTGACTGAGTCTATATATATACACACTATTTCTGTGTGATACATGAAATACTAATACATTTGGGAAGACTGGAGCATCACAAATGAATGAAAACAGAATTAGTCAAAAAAAAAGATGCTTGGCAAGTTGACTGCTGATGAATAAACAAATTTAACTGTACTGCCACATCAAAATATATATATACACACACACACACACATATATACACGTATATATATATATCATAATGTGTGCCAAGTCACTTCAGTCATGTCTGATTCTTTTTGACCCCATGGACTAGAGCCTACCAGTGTCCTCTGTCCATGGGATTCTCCAGGCAAGACTACTGGAGGGAGTTGCCTTGCCCTCCTCCAAGGAATCTTCCTGACCCAGGGATCGAACCCAAGTCTCTTATGTCTCCTGCACTGGTAGGCAGGTTCTTTACCACTGGCGCCACCTGGGAGGCCTATATGTCATAATATAAATATTAATATATAATACATAACAGGTTTTACACACAAATTACCTAAGTATATTAATATATTAATGATACTTTTAAGACATCAGTATTAAATCAGAAGGCAGTAATATGAATTATCTTAGAGGGGAAATTGTGATGGAAAATTGTGAATTTGTTTGACAACATATGAATTTAAAGTATCTTTCTGTCAGGAAATATTATAAATTAAAATTTGTGAATAAATTGAGAAAATAATTTGTAAGTGTTAGACTTAAATTCAATATCCTATATAAGGTACATTTAAAAATTGGCAAGATATCACGTAAAGCAAAACTAAAACAATTTTTACTTCTAAAAATGAAGATTGAGAACAATCTGTGTTTAGAGGAGTGTGATAAAATGAACTTTCAGGTAATGCTGATGGTAATATAAATTGATTTAACATGTTCGGAAAGCAATTTGGTCATTTGGTGTGTGAAAATGTGTGTGTGTGTGTGTGTGTGTGTGTGTGTGATTGTAGGAATTTTGTTGGCATACATAATAAAAAGCAATGTGACCAATATTTCTCTAAAAGAAACATCATCCTAGGATCATTTAAAATAATGACAGTATTGTGGAAAGCATTTTGCCACAATGCAGAGTAACTTTATGCTTAAATAGTGCTGCCGAAGCTATTATTGAACAGCAATTGAATGGAATATAATGCCTTGATTAAACATGTTTTGAGAATTTTTCAGGTCATTGGAAAAAACTTATAATGTGTTCTTAAACAGAGGCAAAATATTTACATGTAGAAAAAATAAAAGAAAATACTCCAAAGTGTATTTTCTGGGTTTTCTGCAGTGAGTATTAGGGATTTTAATAATCTGGGGTGGCAAACCATTTAAAATCTTCTCATAAATTTTTAGAAGGGGTAGTGAAGAGACAGCACATAGAAGGCATCCAGTTGATCTGTACTGAAATGATTTGATTTGAAATGAAATAAAATCTTGTAATGGTAGAATAATCAGATCTTTGAGCTGTGAGGCCTTTTGCAGGTCACTTGGTCCCGTTATCCGCAGTAATCCGGCCCTTAAGTTTAGCCAGTTTATAGCGGTATATTCATTACCTGTAACCACCTCTGGAGCCACGCCAACATGTCACTCCATTCAGCAGTTCTTGCTTATCAGTGCTTGCAGGTCTTTCCTTCTGTTTGAATTTCTTTCCTGTCTGTCCCAAAGGGTACCTTAAAATTCTTTAAATTTCTCTAAGGGCATCCTTAAAAAAGAAAATGCTAGTGTGCAAATAATTTAAATTTTAAGCCACCCAAAATTTGCAAATAATTGGAAAAAAAACCCAAAGTTCTTTGAGTATAGGTGAATTTTGGGTGCCTTCTATATCTTGGCTATTGTAAATAATGCTGAAGTGAACATAAGGGTGTATATATCGTTTTGAATTAATGCTTTTATTTTCTTCTGGTAAACACCCAGAAATGAAATTGCTAGATTTTATGGTAGTTCTGTTTTTAATTTTTTGAGGCACCTTGATACTGTTATTCATAGTGGCTGAACCAATTTGCGTTCCAACTAATAGTGCACAAGGGTCCCTAGGGTTGTTTTTTGATTAGATGACTTTATACACATGAAATATTGGTCTAGAGTAAGCTATTAGTAAATATTACTTAGAGACTTTCATGACAAGGTGGACAAAATGTACTTTTTCCTGCTAATTCCATTCAATATAGCTAAAAACATAGGACATTACATGTAAAATACACATAAGACTCTGAAAGGAAGAGAGAAGAAACCAAATCAGCTCAGATTTGGGACCAGAGAAATGACATGACACTTGACTTCCCCAGGTTTTCTTTTTTGCTTATATGTCCTAGGCTGAGTGCTGGAGAAGGTGGCAATTCAGAAATGCCAATGGGTGTAGAAAAAAAGTCCCAGGAAATTTTCTCTTTGGATCCCTCCCTCTACTCCCTAAATAAAAAGGAATAGGGAAGGGCAGTCTGCCAAGAGAGGACATCTTTGGACAGTCACCACCCTAATCCAGCCAAATAGTATGGCAAACTCTGATCCCCAACCCATCCTCATCAGTGAAAAGATGGTGAGGAATCTAGACTTCTACTTTGCCATGCTGTATCAAGGGTGCCCTAAATATTGCCAGCTCCCCTAGCGGTATCAGAGAAGGTTTTATCAGGAATTGGAACTTTCGTTATAGCTAGGATAAGAGGTGAGGAGGCTCTTGGCCCTGGCAGTGTCAGTGGGGTCCATGTGGGGAGTCTCAGTGAGATGCCATTCGCCGTATCATCCAGAATGATGTAATGGAAGCCTAGTGGGAGCCTGAACTTTGACCCGAGCTCAGCGGTAAGGAGGTCCCTCTTACTCTCATGCATGAAGTGGAAGCCAAGGCCTAATGGGGAGCTGGAGCTTAAACCTGAGTAAACATTTTTTACTTTTTTCTTGATGTATTAGTTCATTACGGCCATAATTATGCTTCATACCACCATAAAAATCTGAGTCAGAAGATGCTTATTCATCAGCTAATCTGTAGGTTGTCAGGGGGTCAGCATGAATGGAAATGTTGCTCTCAGACATCTATCTGGCTGGGTTGGGCTGCAGGCTGAAGGGGAGGCAGCAGTAATACCTGGAGGCTCTTCCCCAGGCGAGGGTTGAGGCGCCGGAGAGCGAGCCTGGTTATATCTGCTGTGTCAAGGGCTTTCAGGTCAGAGCAAGCCTCCTGGCTGCTGATTAGCCGAGGCGAGGCACGTGGGTGGCCCCAGAGTCAGGGCAAGTATTCTCCACTGGTGAGAATGGAGGCTGGGGGGAGGGACAAAATATTTTTAATAGAAGAGGCAAGGAGAAGAGAGTGTTTTTCAACAAACGTGGAATCTATTGCACTTGGCAATTCAGAATCATTGTGTTAATTACTCATTGTGCTGTACTGTGAGGTCATCATTTTCGCCATCATTGATGTGTGCAGGGTCATTTGATGCTGATTAAGTGACCCCTCCTCCTACTGCCTTCTGTATCTGTTATTTCTTATTGCTGCCACTGCATCTGTGGGTGTATTACTTGCTTCCTTTCACACAGGGCTATTTGAATGAGTACCTGATGGTGACACTCAGTTTTATAAGGGGACTTTTTTAAATATTTGCTAGTCTGATGTTGGAACAAATGAACCACTACTGTACTTGTATTTTTTATCTAATATTCTCTTCCTAAAAAAGTGGAAAATTCAATTCTCAGGGAAATAAGTTATATTTTCTTAAAAATTATGTCTATCTATCTACATTATATCTGTATTTTCAAAGGGATGCACTCAGCAATTAAGAGATAAGGTAGTGAATTGAGAAATTTTAAAAATTTATTGACCATATGTGCATGTTGATTGCTTATTCAAATTATGAACCCTTTCAAAATTCTGAAAAGAACTTACCTATACTTTGTGAAATTGGGGGTATTACATTTAATTGAAACAAATATATATCTTTCAAGGAATATAAATATTTCAGAGAAGAATTGATTTTTTTCTAGCAAGTCTGTCTTTTTATAGCAGATCCCTAGACTTCAGTCATGCATCTACTATTTGCCCTCTCAGTGTAGTGCATCTGTCCTGGACTTGGATACAATTCATTTCATCCATGTAAAGTCGATTATTTTGGTGCTGTATACTCTAGTTTCATCCTAAGCAATAAAACCCACAAAATTGTCACCTTGAAGCATGAGGTGTATTTTCTTCTAGTGCACATGAAAATAAATACATGGTTATTAAAATAAAAATGTCACTTCTGTACCATCTTAAATAGTTTACAGCCATCATTACTTGGTATAACATGTATGGGAAAACACTGTTTTAAGGGCAGCTAGCCAAACTGGAACTACGGAAACCTAGTTAAGCAACATAATATGTTTTGAAAAGAGTCATTCACTTTTACTTTCCAATTATTTTTCAGGTTTGTGAAAGGGATGCTTAACATTTGTTACAATGCCATCGATCGTCATATTGAGAATGGTGAAGGAGATAGGATTGCTATCATTTATGACAGTCCTGTTACAAACACTAAAGCCACTATTACCTATAAAGAAGTCCTGGAACAGGTAATATTAACTTTCTATGCACGTTCTTTGGAAATCATATTGAAATTAATTTAAATAGCATACATTCTCATTGCATAGCCTTAATTCTCTTAGTTCATTGACATGCTGTTATACTTTTAGTGCACGCTGTAAAGAGATGTGTGTTTACTCATTTAAATTGTTTTTATTCTTTATATTTTACAGTAGTAAAAGATACTCATTTTATGACTTTTAAACATTTTTATTGCATTATAGTTGCTTTACAATGTTGTGTTAGCTTCTGCTGCATAGCAAAATGAATTAGCCCTACATACACATATATCCCCTCCCTTTTGGGTTTCCCTCCCACTTAGCCCCACAGGGTGCATTAAGTAGAGTTCCCTGTGCTATACAGTATGTTCCCATCAGTTGTCTATATTATATATAGTATCAATCATGGAGCATTTCCCAGGTGGCTCAGTGGTAAAGAATCTGCTTGCCAATGCAGTAGACATGGGTTTGATCCTTAGGTGGGGAGAAGGAAATGGCAACCCACTCCAGTATTCTTGCCTGGGAAATCCCATGGACAGAGAGGCCTGGCCGGCTGCAGTCCATGAGGTTTCAGAGTTGGTTGGACATGACTTAGCGACTACACGACAGCAAACATCAATAGGCTGTATTTATCAGTCCCAACCTCCTGGTTCTTCCCAGCCCACCGCTTTCCCCCTTGATATCTGTGTTTGTTCTCTACCTGTCTGTCTCTGTTTCTGCTTTGCAAATGAGATCATCTATACCATTTTCTAGATTCCACATATATGCATTAATGTATGATTTTTTTCTCTTTCTGACTTCCCTCCTGTATATGACACTGTCTGGATCCATGGAACCAGACAGACATCCCAGAGATAAACCCACGCACATGTGGTCACTTAATCTATGACAAAGGGGGCAAGAATATGCAATGGAAAAAACACAGCCTCTTCAATAAGTGGTGCTGGGAAAATTGGGAAACTATATGTAAAAGAATGAAAAGAGAACACTCCCTAACATCATACACAAGAATAAACTGGAAATGGGACCTTATTTTATAGGAAGAGGTTAACAGATCTCTGACAGGGTGATTTATTCTCTCTGGCCTTCATTTTCCCTCCACGCTGGCATCACCTGGCCCTCTCTCCAACCCTTGTGCTGTTGAAGCGGTCCCCCTGCCTTCTGACTCACCGGTTACTAGGCTGTGCTCCTGTCACACTGTCACCTAAGATGATGCTAGAATTTTCTTCCTAAGAAATGACTTATTACTCTACCCCCACTTGAAAACCTTTTCTTTAAAAACTGCTGTTATTTAGAGAGCAGAATCTGGATTCCTGTGATGTATAAGACACTTTGGAATCTGATCACAGCATGCCTCCAAGCTTCATTTCCCAATGCTCTTGGCCATGAACACAACTCTTTTTCACCCTAGATGCCCTTACACTCCCTCAGGCACTCCTGGCCCTTTAAAGATCTTTGTACATGCTCATTCGTTTCTGTTATTTGCTCTTTCCCCCCCTCCTCCCATCTGGGTAGTTCTCAGGCGAATCATGATATTGGCAGATAAGTTATGAGATTCTTTTCTTCCAATATTAGGGTAGAAATGAGATGTCATAAGTAATTATAAAAGTATTTGGGTGTTGTGGCCTGGAGGAGACTTATTCTTGCTCTGGGGGAGGGCATTTATTTATTTGTTATTGGAAGGGAGGTAAACTGGAGGGCAAGGCTCCTCAGCCTTGATACTGTTGACATTTTAGGCCAGGTAGTTATGTTGTGGGGAGCTGTCATGTACACTGTAGGGGTTTTAGCGGCGTTTCTGGTCTCACTCATTAGTTGCACCCCTTTCCCAGTTGTGATGACCAAAAATGTCTATAGATATTGCTGAAATGTCCCATGTAAATGCCTTTACTTTTATATGGAGGCTTTTTGAATCACATTCTTTTATTTTGCTTTTTTTTTAAACTCATGTAGAATTTCCATGCAAGTGTTAGAGTATTTGGTTAACTCCCCCTGGCTCTCTGAAATAATATCCTTTTGCACCAGCATTGTTTCTGTTTAGCCTTCTAAGGGATTTCAAAAAAGGCAACTGAGAGAAAACTATTACTGCCCCAATCCCGGGTTGCTGCAAGCAATAAAGCTAGGAAGCAAACAAATTTTGCCTTCAGCTGACCGGAACAGAAGAGGAATTTGTGAAAAGTGAAGACCCCAAGGGAGAAGGGCTAGCAGTGAAGAGTTAAGGAGAAGCCACCAATTGCCTAAGAAGCAGAGCTGCTGACTTGACTTCTAGACTGCCAGAGTAAGCACTAGTTGGCTCACGAGCTTCCAGGCCTCCGGCCCGGGGCAGCTGGCAGGAGCTGTCTTGTCGTTTCATTTCACAGTAGGAATAGGGCCTTGCCTCTTTCTGGGACTCATACTAGGGAAATTCCAGTCTAATAAGAGAGTTCAAATACTGGGCAGCTGACTACAGAAAAAAAGAAAATAATGCTGCAGATACAGTACTTGACACTTTTCATGAGTCTGTACGTGGGAACTGTGTATTTTCAGAGTGAAGTATCTAGAGACAGAGTTCACACTGGTCTGAGGGGGAAACGCAGTCTGTTATCAGATGATTTTGGTTTTCATCTGAGGCTGTGGTTTATTTTAGAAGATAAATCTCCTGATAACCTGTTATATTCTGTGTTTTATTTCAGGTTTGCATTTTCAGCTTTTAGACAAGGTTAGCCTGTGTTCAAAAACTGAATCCTATGATTTGGGTATATGGCCATAGGCTCATTAATAATTAAGACAGGTTGATATTAAGATGGGCTTCTTAGATGGCTCAGTGGTAAAGAATCCACCTGTAATGCATTGGGAGGGCATTTATTTATTTGTTATTGGAAGGGAGGTAAACTGGAGGGCAAGGCTCCTCAGCCTTGATACTGTTGACATTTTAGGCCAGGTAGTTATGTTGTGGGGAGCTGTCGTGTACACTGTAGGGGTTTTAGCGGCGTTTCTGGTCTCACTCATTAGTTGCACCCCTTTCCCAGTTGTGATGACCAAAAATGTCTATAGATATTGCTGAAATGTCCCATGTAAATGCCTTTACTTTTATATGGAGGCTTTTTGAATCACATTCTTTTATTTTGCTTTTTTTTTAAACTCATGTAGAATTTCCATGCAAGTGTTAGAGTATTTGGTTAACTCCCCCTGGCTCTCTGAAATAATATCCTTTTGCACCAGCATTGTTTCTGTTTAGCCTTCTAAGGGATTTCAAAAAAGGCAACTGAGAGAAAACTATTACTGCCCCAATCCCGGGTTGCTGCAAGCAATAAAGCTAGGAAGCAAACAAATTTTGCCTTCAGCTGACCGGAACAGAAGAGGAATTTGTGAAAAGTGAAGACCCCAAGGGAGAAGGGCTAGCAGTGAAGAGTTAAGGAGAAGCCACCAATTGCCTAAGAGGCAGAGCTGCTGACTTGACTTCTAGACTGCCAGAGTAAGCACTAGTTGGCTCACGAGCTTCCAGGCCTCCGGCCCGGGGCAGCTGGCAGGAGCTGTCTTGTCGTTTCATTTCACAGTAGGAATAGGGCCTTGCCTCTTTCTGGGACTCATACTAGGGGAATTCCAGTCTAATAAGAGAGTTCAAATACTGGGCAGCTGACTACAGAAAAAAAGAAAATAATGCTGCAGATACAGTACTTGACACTTTTCATGAGTCTGTACGTGGGAACTGTGTATTTTCAGAGTGAAGTATCTAGAGACAGAGTTCACACTGGTCTGAGGGGGAAACGCAGTCTGTTATCAGATGATTTTGGTTTTCATCTGAGGCTGTGGTTTATTTTAGAAGATAAATCTCCTGATAACCTGTTATATTCTGTGTTTTATTTCAGGTTTGCATTTTCAGCTTTTAGACAAGGTTTATAGCCTGTGTTCAAAAACTGAATCCTATGATTTGGGTATATGGCCATAGGCTCATTAATAATTAAGACAGGTTGATATTAAGATGGGCTTCTTAGATGGCTCAGTGGTAAAGAATCCACCTGTAATGCATGAGACATGGGTTCAATCCCTGGGTCAGGAAGTTCCCCTGGGGAGGGTAATGTCAACCCACTCCAGTCTTCTTGCCTGGAGAATCCCATGTACAGAGGAGCCTGGTGGACTGCAAAGAGAGTCAGACACGACCTAGTGACTAAACAGGAACAACAGCAATATTAAGATCCTGGTTAATCTTAATTGCTATCCTGCTTAGGAAACTTACTTATATATTTAACATATATGATCTATATCAGTATGTTGAACTTGATACATGACCAAACATCAGAGTCAAAGAAGACACTTTGGAAATGTAAACTAGGAAGTGTTAAATAAGTTGTTCCTCCTCTCATTTTCTGCTGTTTTGTTTTTAATTAGTAAGTGTATGTGATAAGTACACACATGCCTTTTGCTTAGAGGCCATTCTGCTAACTCATCTTGGTTTTCTCATATGGAGTCTGGACTCTCAGACCCTTTTGAGGTTTGTACTGGTTCATTGCTTTCAGTTTGGCCTGACATCATAAAAGGCCTGTTTCTCTCACCTGCTGACAGCTTCTGATTCCCCAGGGTTTTCTTCTCTTAAAGTACTAAAGGAAGGACTGTTAGGAGAGAGGGGGGGTGTTGTGCTGTATTTTGATTACCTGCTCCTGGTTCCCTGTGGCTTTTACTTTATTAAGTAGAGAAGATCGGGAAAGAAAGATTTAATGGGTAAGGCCATTGAGAACAAACAAAAAGAAGAACCTTTGTACTTTGCTTGTTTTCATCTCTGCTGCCTCATTTCTGCTGGGAGTTTCTGTCTAGGTAAAACTAAATTTGTACTTCTTAATTAGTGAACCAGAACATTTTAGGCTAAAGTATTTCAGTGATGTGAAGGATCTGAAGATTTTACAGAACGGTTCACAGGTAGAGCTTTTCTCAAACTGTCATCTCTTGTAGGGAGCTGATAATGAAAACGCTTGTTTAAGATATTTGTACTGTACATCTGTGTCTCTTTTTCTGTTTTG